AGCGGCCGCGCGGGGTGGCGATGACGACTCCGCGGGCGCCACGTCAGGGATCAGGGACTTAGGCCAGGCCGCCGTGGAGGGTTTCGCCAGGTGCTCCGGCATGGGTGGCGGAGGAGGCGTAAGGAGAGCCTTCTCGGCGGGACGGCTGATGGTGACGTCAGCAGCAAGTGGGGCTGGCGCCGCCGGTGCTGGGGCTGCTTTTGACGTCTTCTTGGTGAGTTGGCTGACGAGGAGCGCGTCGTTCGCCTCCTTCAGAGTGTTTGGCGCGGGCGGCCGCGGTGGCCTTGGCGCCGTCGGGGGAGAGGTGCCGTCCTTCAAGTGTTGCAGGACGGTGGGGAGCTTGGAGAAGTGCTCCGCGAGGCCGACACGTGGCGGACTAGGCGTCCTCTCGAGGTCGAGCATTTGTGGAGAAGGGGAGCGCATCGGGGGCGCGCTCGAGGGGTCGTAGTCGCCATTGTTGAGGGACGCTTGGAGGTGGTGCTTGACGGTGCGTCCGATGGCGACGGTGTTGGGGCGCAGAGTGCGCGACTGAGACTCCGTGGGGTTGTGGCCGACGTATGCCACGACGGTGTGTTCAGCGCCCTTGCCGCGCTTGAAGACGCGGGGCTCCGCGGCTGCTTTGCGCAGGGACGTCATGGTCGCCTGGTGGCGCTCCTCGGTGACTGGGCTGCGGTGAGGGCCGGGCGGAGGCGACCTGTTGAAGACTTGAGGCTGATTCGGGGGCGGCTGCCGTCGGTTGGCGCTGAGGTCGCCTGTGGAAGCCGAGCGGCCGCGAGGGACGAAGGGGGACGGGGCGCGCTCGCGGTAGTTGCGACGGGAAGAAGGGGAGCGCCCACGGTGGCGCGGGAGCGACCTGTCAGGGCGCCTAGGCGAAGGAGAGCGCTCGAGGCGACGCTGACGTGGCTCGACGCTCTCCTGCTGACCTTCATCAGACCGCTTTCGCTTGGAGGGGCCTTCGTCAGGGCCAGGAGACCGCCGGTCGCGGCCGCTGCGGTCGCCGCCACCGCCGCTCGGGCCAGGAGGGGGATCCCTCGTGGAGCGGTCGCCTTGGCCGCGATCGTCGCGGGGAGGCCGCCGCCGCCGCCGCCGGGACCGGGCGCAGGGGGAGCGCCAACTTGTGTCGCCGTTCCGGACAGCATGCGATGAAGGAAGGCGCTCAGATGGCCCGCCAAGCCGGAGTCGACGCGCGTCGTCGCAGGGATGAGCTGGCAGAGTCCCAAAATGATGGGCTGGTTGCCCGAAGGCGCAGGCCTGCCAGAGGGGTTTTGAAGGGGGATGGCGGTGAGCTGGCTGATCAGCTGGTGGATGTCGCCCCACCTTGGATCCGGGCTTGTGACGGAGAGCGCGGAAACGGACGCCAGGAGTTGGAGGAGCGCGCCCTGGAGCGCGTTTCTCGGGTTGGCGGTGTCGGCGCTCGACGCGAAGACAGCGGCGAAGTCAGGGGTAACAGTGGCGCTGATGATGGGGGGCTGAGCACGCGGCTGGCGTGAAGGGCGCCGCGGGGTAGGCCGCGTCGCCGGGGGAGCCGGGTGACGAGCGGACGTGCCGGTCGGGTCCGCCTCAGCGGCCGCCACGTCGTGGATGGGGCCGGCCGCGCGGACTGCAGCGCGTCGGGGGGACGTCTCGCGCTCGGTCGCGGGCCGCACCGCCATAGGGGAGGTGTCAGGGGATGCCCAAGGAACGGATGGCTCGTCGAAGGCGCCAGCGTTCCTCCGGAGGCAGTCCATGACGTAACGTCGCGCCTCCAGTGGGTACAGCGTCTTGACGTCACGGCCGCCGTCGAGGAGGGGGTGACCTGGCAGCCTGACGTCAGAGAGACGCCTGTTCAGCGCCCACCAGTAAGGGGCGCGCGGCCGCCTCGTCGGCCCCAAGCCGATGATGGCGCCAGCTGGCAGCGGCACGTTCCGGAGGATGGCGACCGCCTCGTCGTAAACAAAAAAGCGCGTACGCGCCGTGCGGTTGACGTGGTACTGGCGGAAGACGTACTCCCAGGTCCCGTACGGGGCGGTGTGCGCGCGGTCCACCGGGGAGAGGTAGAGTGGGGCTGAGTTGTTGGGGCTGTACA